AGCAAACGGTATTTTTGATCTTTTTGATTGTTTTTTCAAGATCCATTTTGAACGTATATCCTGTATTTATGAATGTAAATATATTTCAAATTCATAAATGATACAATTTATTTAATAAGATAGATCGAAAATTTAATTTAAGAATATTAAAATAAATAACTGTTTTCAAAGACATGATTCTTCAATATTTGTTTGTTAAAATACATTATGAATCAAATATTAGCTATTTATAGATTAATGTCCATATGATTGAAAAATAATTAGTCGGAACTAGGGATTTATTTGTTTAGTAAATTCTTAATTTTAAATAATACAGAAATATATGCAATCATATAGTTAACGTCAAAATTTGCAGAGTAAAAATTTAAATAAATTAATTTTTAAGAAATTCTCAGGAACCAAACGTGTAGAATTAACTGATAAAACCACTAGATGTTGTGTGGGAGAATGCGTGGGCAAGTGGAGGGGTTAATGCACTGATTCAATACTTAACACATATAATTCTTATTGCTGTTTATTCCATTTATTTTCAGTTTATTTCCAATTTAGGGATGATTAATTTTGATGAGTATAAATAACCTTTTGTTTCTCAATAATAATGTGGCGTTGTGATATACTTCTATTGGAGAACACTTGAGAGGTTATGATTGTTTGTTGTGCTTTGAACGAACACTACAATTCTTGTTTGTGTCGTGATCTTGATATGTGTTGCAGTTGCCTCTGAATAGTGGGCCGTGTGAGTGAGTACGTACCTAAGATAGAGGTTAGAGGAAATGCGCGTTTACTGTATGGCGCGAATTGCTGGTCTTGCGTAGTGAGCATGCGCGGGAAGCTTCTGTGGTCGGACGGCTTGCGGTCCGTTTCCTTAGTAAACCGTGAAGTGAAGATTCAACACTAGAGGTAAGGACTTGGAAGTTGTAGTACGATATTTTCAGCTTTTCTTCACAGGCTTGACGAGAAGTTTCCATTCACGAACTGCTTGCACTTGCACTTTTTTTTGTCCCTTTTGCTGAGATGACGAGGATCTCAGTACATGTGCTATTAGAGCTTGATGAGACTAAATGTAACTGGACATTGAATCATAGCCGCAGAAAGATATTTTACAAGACTCAGCTGATCGACTTTTTCCGTGTTCCTCCTACTCGGGAGCAGTCGTGACTTATCTGTGGTGAGAATAAGTGGTGGTACATTGCATTGTCCATCTTAAATAGTTCACTGACCCGGTTCCACTAGGGACCCCTTCTTCTTTCCTTTATCCAATTAGAGTTTGACTTTGGGCAGCATGATGAATCATGCAAGACTTCATTATCCACTTCTTTCCGGGTTTTAGTCTAGAAAGTACCGTAAAGGGGAAAACTACTACCATTGGTTGTCTTTCCCTTCTCTGGGACTTCGCGATTTGGGGGCTTCTAGGGCGTTGTCGGTTGGTTAACGCGATCGACAAGATTCGACTTAGTACATCTGAAAAATACTCGTAAACATCCACTTCTATTATGCTTCGCGCCACAGATTTAGTCATTGTTTTTAATGCAATAAACGACCCTTGCTATTTACCATCAAAACCCGACTAGCTTGTTTACGCGAGAATAATTTGAGGCTTAAGATATATGAAAACAATCGAGTGTAAAACATTTCCTAAAATTCATTGCAACCCGAAATTCGGCACGTGCGACGTTCGGCAATCTGCGCCAGACGTGTGCCTTCAATGCCACCAGCAAGCATGCATTGTTGTCAAGTACACCAAATGTTGCCGCTTGCATAGGCCAAGCGAAGACGCTTGACCAAGAATCAACCCCCACCACGCTGAGGCCCAGAGAGGGGCAATTTTCATAATATGCGCTCCCGCCAGAGATACTCCTTCGATATTCTCATTGTCTAAGCCTAATTTCTTCTGAAGTGGGAAAAGGATGTGCACATTCATCATGCAGCAAAAAGCGGAGAGCCCTGATTGGAAAACTAAGACCAGAAGTTCTTTGATTGGGGACTCATGGCAAGAGGCCTTAAAGGTAGGGACAATACAGTCGAGGGCAGCTGTCTGCGGGTAAAATTCGAACAAGTTGCTGGCGTGGGCAAGCCAAAGGCTGTATCGAAGGAAAAGTCAAGTAAAAAGGGCTATTCGCCTAGAGAAGCCCAGTCCGAGGAGAACGCAACGCAGTAGTACGCATTAATAAATTAGAGACAAGTATATTGCGATGACCCACTGACCAGACCAAGAATACTGTATCCCTGTGAGTACAAGGATCATCCCGCACGCTCTCGCTTTGCCGCGTGCCCTGGTGAACCACTCACCCCTGGATTAGATCAAGATTACTGCATCCCTGTGTGTACAAGGATCATCCTGCACGCACTTGCTTTGCCACGTGCCGTGGTGAACCACTCACCCCTGGATTAGATCAAGACTACGGTATCGCTGTGAGAACACATATCCGCGCTATCTACTCAATTATTGGCTGCAAAACCGGCATAACACGACCATTAACATTATCTCACACTCTCTAACAAGGAGTGTGCAGTAATAATTTGTCTTTACAATCTTTCAATTTAACATCACATAAACGATCTCAAGAGCATCTTGTGTAGTGAAACATCCCATATAAGAAACCGTTCAAGAACTCGTATCTTCACATTAGACTCAAGAAGATTCTACAACACCCATATATAAATTGTGTAATAAATTGTATAATAAATGTATAATTAATCAACACCTACGACTCTTGTACAAGCCCTTCCACCTATCTCTTTCTCAGGCGTCTGCTAGGGCGGGCGGCAAACTTAGCTATTGAAGCATTGGCAGTTCGAGCCAAGAATTACATCACTAATTTCGAACAACAATGTAGGCATTGTCTTAAGATGCCGTGTGCGCACGTACGCCTATTGCTTGTTGTGGCACGTGCGGGGTTTTCGGTTGCAAAAAAATAGTTTAACTGCTCCGGAAAAGCATGAGCACGTTTTTAGATAAGCAAGAATAAATTCATTGGTGTTTTCCAGATGTATGTCTAGAGTGTCCAACGACCGTGGGAAGTCGTGGCAAGAAACTTTTCTCGCAATCTCGAACACATACAAACTACTTTGATCTAATAATTAAAATAAATGGTTATTTTATTTTTATTTATTAAATGTTATTTTGAATTTAAAAATGAGTTAACGTATATCTTTTAGTTAAATTCTAGATATTTTACGCTATAAAAGAATATTATAATTCAGAAATTTTCAATTTTTAAGAAACTTATATTATTCCACCACGCATTAGTGATTTGATTTGATGTTTAAATTCTATATCTATTGAAGCAGATAAAACAATAAGATTTATGGTAAATAATTTCATTTCATTTCATATTTTCATAATGAATATTATTCAATAAATTCTTTAAAATAAAATCTGAAGCATATTACCAATTAACAAACAAAACTATCTAAATTTTTTTATGTAAATAAATATTTCTATATGTTCCTATTTTCTATATCTATTTCTCTCCTGTATTTATATATATGTCTATATAAAAAGTATAAACCTTCTAACTATTTGTTCGATTTTAAAGGGTTAGTTTATGGCTCGAACTGCCAATTCAATAGTTCAGTGGATTAGTCTCTCGGCAGGATAATTTTAAAGGAAACAATAACAGACAAGGCTGAAAAATATTATGTATTTAGTAAAAACAATGTTTATTATTTGTAAATGATTATAATAATATTGCACTGTTGTGTAGAGAGAGATAATTCTATCGAAGTAATGAGGGTGTGTTCTTGTATTCTTAAATTATTGTAGTTCTATGGATATAAGTAAGTATCTTGAAGTTGAAGTAATGCTGATGTTGTAAATATCAGCTGATGTCGTCAGTCAATCATGCTTGTGAGGTAGCATGAGAAGATGGTAGTTGAATCAAGTATGTTTGATGTATGAATAACTATACTTGATATGGTGTAAGATGTTTAATGGAATATGTTGAGTAATCAATTGTATCTTTATTTATTTATGGGAACGGTAGAAGAGCTAGTCACACACAGGTATCATTGATTATAAACCTTAGAAATCTTCAGGATTTCTGGAAAATGTCCTTACTGTTGATCAGTCGATATATTGAAGTCTGGCTTTGACTTACTGCGTCATTGAGTTGACTATTTAAAGAATGCGCGACCACGCGCTCATCACCTGGTGGTATTTTTACCATTAACTTACAAATTTAATTTTTAACAATCTTTAGTTATCAACTATACATTAATAATTAAATATGTGAATAAAAGTAAGTAAATATTCCAATTCAAATAAGGGTCGTATTCTAATAAGTTTCCGTGCAATTTCTAATTAATTTAATTTCTCATCACTACAGAATATAATATTAAATATAATATTATATAATTATAAGTTCTGTAAAAAATATTAGCTTTAATTTTTTAAGTAATTATATGAATAATATAGATACACAGCTTCAATAAGGGAGACCAATATAATGAAAAATAATTCTAAATTTGATTGTGTCTTTTAATATTATACTTTACCTCTTTTTTCTAACGTTAGTTTCGTTGCAACAAAACCCAAAGTCGATTGATTTACTAATTGTACACGGCATTCAAAAAGTAATGTAATATTGCTATGCTACTTGCAAACATATCTTTATTAATTTTATTTGAAAATCTATTCAAATAATATAATTTTCCATTGGTCCTAATTAAAAAAGATTAATATAAAATTTAATAAAATAACTAAATTATTTTAAAATTACATTCGACTGTAGATGAAAAAGAATACATATTTAATTTTGTTATATGAGGTTCAAGTCTGTAATATATATTTTTAATTTTATGCCATAATTAAAAATTAAAATGATTAAATTTCATTCATTTTTTTTAAATTAACAATTTTTTTAATGTATTATATTTATATGATACTATATTATAATATACACTTCGAATACAATATTTCATATTCTAATAATAAAATTAATTAGCTATGATTATAGTATTTGGAATACATTCTAAATTTCAATTTTAGATTACGCGCTTATGCAATAAATACCTAAATTTCTATTGTGCATAGGAAATAAAGGAAACAAATTTTATTAAAAGAAACTTTAGTTAATAAGTTCATGCTGCCCTTGATTAGACAATTTTAAGATTTTTATATGATCGAATCAAATAGTTGAATAAAGGTAATTGCATTTGTTTAGCAAATAAAATCCAATTTTTATTAAGTTTATTGTTGTTGAATATGTAGTATTTAATAATATACAGATATTTATTATTAATTTTTTTTCTTATTTTACGATTTTTTATTATTTTTAAAATCAGACTAGATAAATAAAAAAAGAAATTTAACTTTATAAAATTATTAGAAGATTGATATATTTGAAATATATACATAACAAATTTAATGGAATTAAACATATTTAAAAATAATATTACTTGTTTATGGTATACGTAGATTTTGTGAAGTTATTAGAATTATAAATAAAATGATAATTGATTTAATATAAATTAACCTATAATTATCACCAGTATCATACTATGCAGTTAATATGTCACAAAATATAGTGACTTCTTTACAGATATTTGACAAGAATATTAAGCATTTATATATAACATAGTTCTGTTTAACTTTAGCTTTTGTATACATAGAAAATTCAAATAAATTATCTAATATTGATTTAAATTGTTTTATTCTTTAAATTAATATATTTGTGTTATATATAATTTATTGTACAACAATTAATACATGAATTTAATAAGTATATTTTTATTTCTATTATTAAAAGATTATATATATTTAATGTATTTTGTCTTGGATATTTTATATAAATAACGACTGAAACTACAAGATTAATACAAATTGTTTTAAAATATTTCATATTTTTAAATTGAAAGTAAGAGTAAAATATAATACTTACCTTTTATTAATAATGATGAATTATTATATAATAGATTTTAAAATACTATTAATATTAAAATTAATTAATGAATTTTTTATTATTTCCTTCATTTATCATGCAAATACTTTCACTGGAATCATAATTTACATATTATAGATAATACTTAATATTTGAAATAATAAACATTAATATAAGATAATAATTATGAATTTTTTATGTTTCTATCATTTTTTTATATTAATTTTTATAATTTTCCCATTTTATATCCATTGATTTTGTTCTAATATTATATTCATTCTATATTTATTAATATATATATTAATATATATATTATCTATATATATATTAATATATTTATTCTAATATTATAAATGTATTGTTTAAATATTTATTGATAATAAATGTAAATTATATAATAGACCTGTTATTATTATTTGATTACACAGATAATATAGGTAATCTATTCTCTTGATTATAGGTAATATTTGTGATGTTTATAGGTAATTATTTATTTAAAACAATTTCCGTGTTTATAGAATAGTATTTAAGATTTTAATTTTTAATTTATCTCCATCAAAACTATTTGAGTTCTATTATTCATTAAGTTTACTGTTATTTTACAATTATATGTATATTGCCAGTATATACTGTCATTTCAATAGTGAGTTGTTAGCAAAGTTATAATTAGAAATAAATGTAAATAAGAAAACACTATATAAAAATAGAAACAATATGGTATTTATTTTGAAAGTATGAACTACTATCAACAACGTAGTCACTTATTACATACAGATTATTATGATTTTTTATAATTAAAAAAGTAATATAATTATATATAAACTATTTTAAAAGTAGAAAATATAAATTTATTTCAAAGAAAACACTTTAAATATTTATTATGTTCAATAAGTAATAGTACTAAATTTGTCCACAAATATTTTTCTTTTTTTTTTTTAGGACATATATTTGCCATGGAGAGTGGTCAAAACTCTCAACAAGATAGCATCGAGGCATCTCTTTTTCAATGTTTAAATAAAGTCGACGATAAACCAACCAATGTAGGTGCAACTACAACACTTACAACGTTGGAATTTCGAGATAGAATAAAAAATCTAAACACAAAGTCATCAAATTCATCAGCTGTAAATCTTTTGGCGACAAATACATTACTCTTACCTAGTGAAATAATACATGCAAAGTTACAAGATACAGTTTTAATTCAAGCGCCTTCGACAAGCTCTTCTGCTTCTTCTACGGGTAATTTTTGATAATTTATATAAATACTCGTTATTTTATTTCTATTGTAATATTTAAAAATTATTTTTATTTATAAATCTTCTTTTAAATTAAATTTAATCTTCTAGATTGAAAATAGATTTATCTATTTAAAAAATAATTACTTAATTGAAACTAAAATAGGATGTATGAATGTGAAGAGAACAAAAAATAAAGTGATAACAAGCAGTTTCCTCTTCGCATTATAAATATTAAATCATTTTTTAATTTGTGATAATTGATAGTAAACTTATGATTTTTATAATTTCGCAATTTTTAATTCGCGAGTATAACTTCAACACAGTCTACATATTTTCGTTATTTTAACTAATAAATGTGATGTATAGAAATATTAAAATTTTAACTATTGTTTGATAGTGAATTTTCACTTCAATTAATTATTCATCTTGGTAATTTGGAATTCTTAACTCTGTTGTTTCAACTGCAATTCTTTGAGAAATACTGAATCTACAATATTTAAGATATATCTATTCTAATTAAGTAATTAGAAATTCATATTAGTAAGATCGTTAATTAGCCATCACTAAGCCATACCAACACCATCGAATTAGCAAGTTTAGTAATAATAAATCATTATCATATTATTAGCTTACCAAGAGAAACAATATTGCATTGCTATATTATTAGAGACTATAAAGATATTGATTCAGAGTACATACGGATGTAAATGAGCCATATAAGATAGACGTGTATTTAATAAGTGAAATAATGTTTTTCTATTTAAAAGAACAGAGCTTTCTAATTGGGTCAAGTACATTTATCCTTTTTCATTAAGTTGCAGTTGTTTACAGTGAACCAGAATAGAAAAAAAACAGTTCAATAAATTTAAGCCACTTTTATAATTTGGATTATAAATTATATATTATATTTGGAATAACAGTCAATATAATTACTCATAATTGTATTTCATGATAGTATTCTGAATTATTAATATTACTAAAATTTTTCCTAATTGTCCTTCTTTTATAGAAATTCCACGGAATAAAATAGCCCTAGCTCGTGGTCACAGCCTAATGGATTGGATGCGATTAGGGGCATCTGGCCAAGATCTTTCAGGAGTGGGTAGTCAGTTTCTTGTAGTTACACCCTCTGAATTGGCTAAACATAATAAACAGAATGATGCATGGATTGCAATACGAGGTAAGTAAGCAAATTTCAGTTTTTTATTTTAATGAATTAAATATTCTTTTTATAAAATTTGAATTTAAATTTATCAAAATGTTCATATATTCCTATTCTATATGTTAATATATATTTGAGTTTTATGTATTATGTATTAATAATAATTGTCTATTTTTTCTATGAAAAAATCTTTAATAATTTCATATTTATACATTTTACTTTTATTTGTAATAAATTTTTTATGTGAATTAAAATAAATCTATAGAAAGAATGCATTTATACATAGTTTTATTAACTTAAATTTATTCTAAGTAAAATAATTCAAATTTCTAAAATTAATATTTACTAAATTTTTATTACAAATTATAAGTAACAGCAGTATATTAATTGGAATAAAAAATACTATAATATGAAAATTGTTATTGAAGTGTTGATAGTCTGTCTTATTTTAAACCTCTGTTTAACAAGAAGAATATAGCATAGTTGCAATGAAAATTATAACAATATTTTTTATCATCAAAGCTGCTTGGGATCAGACTAAAAAGCTCCTTATGATGGTGGGTGGAGGCTTCCTGGCAAGTGGAAGGGGCAATGCAATAATTCAATACTGCATTTAGAGTTTATTGTCTTTCCCTTTATTGAATATAATAAATAATGAATAGTTAATAATCTATGAATATCGAAATGAGTGTATGACAGAATGAATAGATGAGTATTTTTCATTAATGTTGTAAGTCGTAAGAACGAGCGTCGGCGTTACTTACATGCGGGCGTAAACCGCGAGTGTAGAGTGGCGGTCCTGTCGTGATGGGTGCTTGTTAACTAGTAAGAAGTAGTAAGGAACGTGCGTCTGCGTTGCTTACGGAGGCGTGGGTGCCAATATAGTTGTGGCATCGCTATTAGTTCCTTAGGTTGCTTGATTCTTGCCATGCTCTCATAATGGCGATTGCAGGGTTGGATAGCGAGCCCGATGTCGATAGTGCGGGATTGGTACTAGCAAGAAGCAATCGCGACACGTGCAGCACCTTACATATTCTCGTACGAACTGGCTGCGCCGATAGCGCATCGGTGGGTGTTACCATGTCGCTATTTGTCGTGACGTCAATAGGACATAGCTTCGTAGGGTTCATTTGTTATTATTTCTCGGAATTATAGTTGTATATTCGAGTTTTTCGGCTAGAAGCATTCTTTGAGTCCGTTGGCCAATGTTTACAAAACAAATGTTCGCACGCTCACACCTCTCTCACTTTGCATTCCGCTTAAAACTGCTGTAATCCATAAAAAAAGCTTTGAAATGGATATAAAGAAGTAATTTGCATTAAATTATTTATGCTGGCTCATTGTTCGAAATTGAGTGTTTGTTATGTGGCTCGAACTATCAATTCAATAATTCAGTGGATTAGTCTCTCGCCGTAGCGATTAGGAGGAAAAGGCATAAGTGGAAGGGCTGAATATATTATGAAATATATATTTTGAATAAAGATATTGTTTTATTCTGTTTTATGAATTATTATAATATTGCATTTTGTTGATTGCTTCAAGTAAGAGAGAGAGAGAAATGTATTCTATTGCAGTGGTGAGGGTGCTTCCTTGTGTCCTTGGTTGTCGTTGATGCTATGGAAATTACTGTGGATGTTGAGTATTACATCTATGCTGATGTAAAGATCGGTATGAGAAATCGACCATGCTCATTAATGAGCATGGGAAGATGGTGATGGTAATCAATAATGTTTAATAGGGAGAGTATGCATACTTAAAAGGAGAGAATATGTTATTCTCTGCGTAGTTGTTACGTAAATCGATCATACTCCAAAGGGAGTATAGTAGTATTGGAGAGTTAGTCACACGCAAGAACAATAAATGATAAACAGGTCCTTCGAGGACGGAAGGACTTAATAATAGGTAGTTATAGTCGACTACTTGAGAAACGGTAGTCTGAACCTGATTATGTAATTAAACGGATTATCTGGGTGAAAGAACGCTGGTCGGCCTGAGAGAACGTGTTGCTCCATCTGTCTCGATTTTAGCTGAGTAAAAGAACGTTCTTCGGCCTGGTCAGCTTGAGAGAGCGTGTTGCTCCATGTTTGGAATCAGACTAAAAGCCTCCCTGTGATGGCGGGTGGAGGCTTGCTGGCAAGTGGAAGGGGTAATGCAATAATTCAATACTGCATTTAGAGTTTATTGTCTTTCCCTTTATTGAATATATTAAATATAATAAATAGTCAATGATCTATGGATATCAAAATGAGTGTATGTGACAATGAATAGATGAGAGTTTCTTCAATCAACGTTAGTGGCGATAAGTCTGTAAGTGTATTCTTGATAGCCTGGAGCTTGGGTCCCCTTCTCCTTATGATTGAGTAGTAGTAGTGGGAGACTCGTGCTGTAGGGGCAGCAAGTTGGGGCCGCTTTAGCCGCTGGCGTAGGATGAGCGCTGTCGTGGTCAGGTGGTGGTAGAATGTCCGTCTTACGTAACTGCTTGACTGAATGGGAGATTCACTCGTATCGGTGTAACGCGATATAGATAGCGTACGGTGCTTGAGTGAGCGCGAGGACCGCTCTTATACCTATAGTGGTGATTGGCGCTCGTAATGCGCTGCAGCGTATGTGTACGTGAGATTAGATGTAGTGATGGTATTGGTCTACGTTCGTAGTGTGTTGCTGCTTACGTAGTTGACAGGAACCGTTGTATTAGTAAGACGTAAGAACGAGCGTGATGACGTAGTTTACGTGCGGGCTGGAGCCGATCTCTAGAATGGCGAGCCTGTCGTGATGAGTGTTTGATTGAACTAGTAAGAGGACGAGAGCGTCAAGCGTAGTTCTTTAAATATCCTAGCACAAGCTTGCGCAACTAGTGATTACCGGCTCACTCTTGCCATGCCGATTGTTAGAGTGACGTCACTAAAGTCTAGCCTTGGGAAGTTCGTCGGCCTTGTTAGTCGGAATTATAATGTAATATTCGAATATTTTGCGTAGTGAAGCTTCCCGATTTCACAAAATTGTGTTTATGACTCTGTGCGCATATGTTTCTAACTAAGCACAGGTGTCTTTACCTCTCCCACTTTGTATACCGCTTAAAACTGCTGAATCCGTAACACTCCATCTGTCTCGATTGTAGCTGCGTGAAAGAACGTTCTCTGGCCTGGTCGGCCTGAGAGAGCGTGTTGCACCACCCTTCGTGGCAGACTTTATGTGAAACGTAATTCGAGCGTGGATGACTAATTTGTACAAATAATAAAGAGGATGCACCTTATGAACTATCGTCAGGGTATGCTGTTTGACTGCGTGTCTGGCTTGATTGATTACAATTCCACTTGGCTTAACTATTAAATTGCTAACCTGTTATTGCAGATTTTTATAATAACGCACGTATATTTTTTAGGCTGATTATCGAGCGTGCGGTTAAGATTCGTAGTCGCAAGAGATAACTGATACTATATAGGTTAAAGTACACTAATTAATAATAACAGATGAGTGGGCGAATGGTAGAATTACAGTGAGCTATAATTGATATCTGAGTAGATAGTAAAAACACCGTGAGCCATGTGCGTGGCGACTGTGTGGGTGTTAAAAGTACAGTGTGCGACGCATGGCGGGCTGCTCTTAAATATTCGCGTAGCAGTTTGCGACGCCGGCAACAGCGCCGATGCCTGTTGCTATGCCGCAAATTGTCGAGACGTCAGAGAATGAAGCTCTGGAATGTTCTAGAAGCGTCGAAGGACATAGCCTTGGGAGGTTCTAGAAGCTTCATCGGCGTTGCTATACGGAAATATTCTTTTATATTCGAATTTAAGGCGTAGAAGAATTCCCGAATTCGCTGAGTCATGTTTACAAACATGAATGTTCGAGGGCTTGTAACTTTCCCAATTTTAAATTCTGCTTAAACTGCTTCGATCCCGAACACTTATCATTCGCTATGATTCATGCTGAAACCACTATAACCTTTATCGATATTCCAATATTGCACTTACAATAATATCTTTTGTATAATATTAATAATATATCAGAAAAAAATTGCTTGTGTTAATTTTATTATTTAATTTTATCATATTATTTCGTCTATTCAATCATTGAATAGCTTTCTCTATACATTAATTTACGCCATTATCCAACCAATTTCCTATAACTACGAAATTCAAATATTTAAAAAATGTATAGAATAACAATAAAATAAATTACTATTTAGGTTTCAAACAATTAGCTCATTTTTTGTTGTACTTTTTAAATTTAATATTGTCAGTGCTGTATTTTTGTTCTTGTATGTTATTAAATAAAAGACTTTCCAACATCAGGAACTGAAATCGAAAAAATGGTAGAAGTTATTTTCAAATCTTATTAATAATCTGCTGTAATTGTTATAACATTAATAATATATTGTAATTATATTACAATATTAAAAATCATTAATATAATATATCAATGCTTTAATTTTCAACTAAAATGATAAATTAACTTAAATTTTATAGAGTTAGTAATTATAAATTAGCTTTATTATAGTAATTATAATTTAGATTATTCCTAGGTATAGTTTTTAATATATCATTGTATATGGATTTTCATCCTGGTGGTATATCTGAATTAATGAAAGGTGCAGGGAAAGATTCCACTAAGTTATTTGAAGAAGTAAGTTAAAAATAAAATGTTTTATAGCTGTGTTTTCTTATAATTATATTTTTAATTATTTTTAGATACACGCTTGGGTAAATTATCAGAGTATACTCCAAAAGTGCATTATTGGTAGACTACAGAATTCCATAAATACAGAATATAATTTTGAAAAAAATATAAATAATTCTGGTAAGTAGACAGTCAAGAAAACCAAAAATATATTTTCTTTTAGCATAATATACATGCTATGCGTTACTAATGATAAACTTTTTTTTTATATATCAGAAATAAATCAAGAAAATATTGAATGCATAGATGATTTGCCCATTATTAAAATGTATTATACCCAGACTGCGAGTAGTATATCTCTTTTTTATACAATACCATCTAATAATCCACTAGATGAAGTTCATATTAAAAAATTAGAGAACTCAGAATTGGCATTACACATTTATTATGCAAAAACTCAAAATATATCGTACAATGTGAAACTTGCCAAGGATGTAGAGTGGCCACCTACATTTCAAGAACGTAGTGAAATTTCAGAGGTATTTATTTTTTATCTCTTAATTTTACCATAGTAATTTTATATTTAACACATTCGAGAATAATATATTTTAAAAACTCTATTATATTCTTGAAAAAAATGTAAAATAAAAACCAATATATATACATTATAAAATTTTAAAATTGCGATGTCATTAATTAAAATTGACTTTAATCAATGGCTTAAATATCATTATTAACATAAATAAAATAAAAAAATACATGAATTCAAATGTATTAAATATATGGAATTATTGTATTATAATTGAAAGTGATCAGTTTCATACAAAATTTTTATTTTTAGCCAATTTTTTCGATATTTAAAAATCGAGTAATACATAAAATATTAATCTAAGTATAATTATTTTAAAAATAATTAAAATTTATAACGATTATATTTTATAATGATTTATTTATACTAATTATGATTAAAAAAGGAAATTGTATTTAAGAAGAAAGATAAAGGTATTTGGAAAATGCAAGACATATCTATAATATCTAATGAAAAGAGGAACTTGTCAACGCGAATGTATAATAAATATGAAGTGCTAGAAAATACATTACTTTGCAAAATAATTCATCTTTTAATTTTACGTGCCCAGAATTATATTCAAGTAATTCCACCTGGCAGGCATGTCGAAGTTAAACTGAATATTATGGGTAAGCATAAAAATAAATTTTTTTTAATAAATAACTAAATACTCATTTAATTGATTTCAAACAATGAATTTTACTTTTTATACCAAAAAATATTAAAAATTGAATAACCTTAAAATATTACTATTATCGCATATGTCAAGTAAAAAGGTAGGAACGAATACATATTTCGATTACACTAATCTTTAGCTTTTGTACCAGTAATTTTAAGTTAACACGAAGAATTCGAGACTTTGGAAAATGAATATTCTATAAATATATCCAAACAATAATTGGTGTTAGATACAGTTAGTATCCAGACTCACCAATATGTGTTCCATCACCCGTTCCCTATCAAACCTTCTGGAACAGTAAAATAGATACATTTCAGAATACATTTAATTCATAACATTTTGATTATGAGCAAGATAGTCACAAATGTCGAATTTAACTTAATCTATTGAAATCATACAGAACTATCGCAATATAAAATATATGACTGGCAGATATGTATAAATTACAAAATACCTTCCTCTCTTTATCTCTTTCTAAAATATTTTGATTTTTAGTAATCAGTTTGTATGTTTCTTATATATTCTTAAACCGATTTTTTAGTTTATATTCAGGACAAAATTAATGAGATTGAGTTGTTATTAGATATTTTCCATAAACAATAAAATAAAGTTTTTAATTCCATAATATTGATCATAGTAATTGTTACGGATTGAAAAGTTGAAAGACGAAAGTGGGAGAGGTATGAATGCGCAATTCAGTTATTTAAACAAAACAAAAACAACGAACGATCCAGGATGTGCCCTGTTGACGTCACGACCAATATCGTCATGGCAACAAACATCGGCGTTTAAGGAATAGTGCGATAATATTTAAGGGCTGCGCTTCACGCGCAACAATTCAGTCTTGCCTCAGTCTAGTAACAATTACACAGTCATTATAACAAGTGCACTATTCATCTTCAAGCTTTCTATACAGTTATCATTCACTGTAGCGGTATACATACGTAATAATCAATCAAATAAATAATCTAAGAAAGAAATAGTGACACTATATTCTAAAATTCATTAAACTAAACTTAAATTAATAACGCATTAGTGATAAGATAAAACAACAGTGAAAACTTAAAAATCATATTATATATGCTCACGGATAAAACCGACGCATACACAAGCGCGGCACCAACGCATAATACAAACATTGTCGGTTTAACGTATACTAAGATAGCACATACTCATTATTCATACAAAAGAATATACATTCATCAACACGTAAACAATTCTCGTTCTCATTGCCCTCGACGCGCCTCTGTCGATGGACATGACGACTTGACAACAAGAGGGGGGGACTAGTGCATACCATTATATTTTAGATTTTTGAGTATAGCGATTATTTCCAGCTGCCTAATGAGTTGTATTTGACCGAGTCATAACGACAGGTGTTGCCAGATGTTTTATGGCATGGGAAAAGGTTCTCACAATTTCGAACAGATACTAATATTTATGATCTTCTAATACAATAAGTATTATAAATTTTATACGTAAAAATGTATTATGTTAATTAGCAAGGCAAATTCACATCTTGAAAAGTTGACATTGATATAAATAGAAATTATTTAGACCAAATAAATAGATACCTTCATATATTATAATCATATTCATGAGACAGCAGAATTCATATAAATGAATTCCTATAACAAAAGAACGCTCAAGATGAATGAACGAATATAAAATGGTGTAGATGTGCAGGAATACATAAATAGAATATAAATATTTTTTCAATGACGCGTACAATTGTCAACAATTTCAGTTCTGAAAATATAATTACAACTTTATCAGACAAATTCAATAGCAATGCAACTTACAAATTATAGTCCGAGGATTATATCCTGAATTAGAAATTAATATTTTTAAATTATATCATCTGAGATTGTAGCAATTCAATACAAAATTTACTTTAAAACACTGTTAGTGTTTAATAAAAATACATACGACTTATTTCCGCATTAATTTTAACTATGATAAAGATTCTATTAATTATTAATATTATTCTAACGATTTTTTACAATTTATTTTTAAGATTCGAATCCAATAGTAAATACTGCAAAATTTTTATAAATTATTAACAAACTATTGATAAATTACATTAATATTTTAAAAATTGTACAAAAAATATAAATTGAAAAATCTAAACAAAGAAATAAAAGAACTTTGATATAAATAAAACATTAACTTCTAAAATTATTTTTGTATTAATCATTTCCCTAGGTACTGAAGTTTCACGTTTATATACACCAGTACCACGCTACCTACACTCTGACGTACGTCTTGCTTCCAATAATTGTGACGATTATATTTGTCTTATAGTAAAGCATTACAAGAGTGGAAAAATGACACCAAATCTCACGTCATTACAGCCTGGGCAAGTTCTTGAACTCAGTAATACGCTCGGTAATTTTTATCTGGAAGCATATGATCAGTATACAACAATACATTTGCTTGCCGCTGGCACAGGATTAACAACTATGTTATCTATTATTAAGCGAACTCTATCCAAACGTAATACGTGAGTCACAATTTATATGTAATTATATTTATTATAGCGAATGCTAAGAAATGTATATATATATATAAACATACTGTTTCCGATATCGGTTGTTTTTCAGTTTTTATAATAGAAGCTAAATGTGATATATTTTCATTTAAATACTCATACAAAAATTACATTACCAAAAAAAATTTAATTTAATTTAAAAAAAAAACATGCGGATGAAAATCTTTATAATTATTAGTTCCTTTAATAGAACGTCACGTATGTCACGTATGTTACATTGTTGCTATTGTAAAATAATGAGATGTGAACATCATTAGAAAGCAAATGATCAAAAAGTAATCAATGTGTAAAAATATCAAGAATGATTTACCAGTTAAAATTTCGATTTAAGTATTAAATTGAAGAAAACAAAATAAATCTATTATTTCAGATAATTTAATTTAAATTAATAACAAATAACTCTTCCAATTGCTTCCAGATATTCTGGAATTCCTTGCAGATAAAGAGTTGACAACATTAAAATATTTGAAAATGCACAATTTTATATGAAAATTTGCATTTAATGAAAATATTGAATATAAAACTAATGCATATTATAAAATACGCAAAAAATTATAGAAATAAGGTACTTAAATATTTATGAAAAATTGTGCTACCTAAATAAATTTTGGTGAAAAAAAACAATCCAACATCTATTATAAGACTTTTCATCTGACGTAATTAAGAAAAAATTGGTGATAAAAAAAAACATTTTTATTCATATATCAAATTATGTAATAATATTACTAATATAATTAGAACATAATTAGAGAATATTTATAAATATTAAATAACTAATAAAGAATTATTGTTTCCATTTACAATTTGTTTCAATCTTTATCTCACACTATATTATGTTTAATTATATCTGTATTATATTCTTTATCACACACACACACACACACACACACACATATATATATATATTTAATTTCTTTTATCTTTATTATTTATATCTTTATGTTTATAAGAATTTTGGAAATTGCTTATTTTATTTATTTTCTAGATTTTATTTTATCTACTAGTATTTAATGTTTTTATAATTGTGATTTATTCAATAATTAATTAATTTTATTTTTTATTATAGACCATATATGAATTTAATTATTTTCAATACCAATGAAGGAAATATTTTTTACGCTGAGCAACTAGATCATATTTCTGAGAAATACAAGTAAGTCTGTCATTAAATATATGGTAACATTATTATACAATTGGCCTTGATGAAAAGTATTTAGGCACTCATTTTTAAAATACCCAAACATTGATTCTGAAATAAGTGTATGTAACTAAACGGTAATTAATCATTTCATGTGTATGTATAAAAATATAATTGTGTTCTTTTGTATTTGTATAAAACTCAAACTACTACAATCAAAAAATTTTTTTTTAATAGTATATCATTTAATGCTGTACATTAAATTAGATCAATATAAATCTTATTAAATTATATATACATATAAATATATATATATATATATAGTTAATATGTTCAATAATTAGGCAAATTTATTTACAAGAATCATAAGAAATTACATTTTAGAAATATATCCTATCTGAATTTTCCAATAATCACTTTTGTATCGATTTTTATACACTTTAAATTTGTACGAATTAATACATACCAATGTTATTTGTATAGCTTTAAGATCAGGCTATGCTTTATTATATTCAGTTACAATCTTTATTACAAGCTTTATTACAATCCTTAGAGAGATTCATCTAACGTTGACTTATGGAGCTTGCAAATTACTTTTGCTTCATCTTGAATTACTGAAATATTTATGTTTGTCTCAATAAAAGTATTTTCTGTAACAATTATTAAGACACTGAATCTATACTCAGCACTCACTTCAAATACTTTCATACTCAAAATTCAGCCCATGTTTAACAAATTGAATTATTTGTGGGAAAATTAGTTTATGAAAAAAATTCACGAGTTAAATTGTTGAATAATTGTTAAATAATTTGTTTTAAAAAATAGCAAAAGAAGTTATATGAAAAACATACAAAAAATGAAATCAAACAATTTTACATATTAAAAATTGTATTAAATTTAAAATGAATTATAAATAAAATAAAATTATTGCGATATATTTATAACAGTATTTCTTTTAATTTTCCATTTGTAGATTAAGAGTAACGCACGTATTATCAGCAGCAAGCAGTACATGGAAAGGAAGAAGTGGTATTATATCTAATGAATTATTGAATGACTTAATAGGCAAGCATTCAAACAAAGCCTGCGTGTTTACTTGTGGTCCAATAGGTTTCATGAAAATTACAAAAGAGTGAGTATTCACTAATATAAAGTGGTATAAAATCTTAAATATTTAATATTATATAAATTGGAATATAAAACGGATTTCAAGAATTTTCTTTTATATATTTGAAAATAAGATTTACCAGAAAACTACAACTACATGACTATTTAACAAAACATTTATAAATATAAATAATTTGCGTATAATTTAATTATTACGAAATGCAATTTCGTTATTTAATTTAATTAAATAAAGTTACTTTCGCCTCAAGATAGAATTTTTTTATTTATAATAGAAATATAGATATATATTAAATGGCAGTATTTAAAAATAAAAACACAATATAATATTGACAACAATGATAACTAGAAATGTAAAAACAAAGAATGCTAGAGTTATAAATATGGTGATATATCAAGAATTTATTATAATATAGTTTTCAGTAGAATAATTTAAATACTTTTCATGCTTTGAATATTTTATACTTTGCTCTAAAACAGCTAAATTTAAGCAATTAAATAAGTCTATCTTAGGTGTATTAGAGAAAATAAAAATTTAAAATTTAAAATTTTGTTTGTATAAGAAATACTTATCATTTCGTATTTAAATTAATATATTTATCTTAAAATAATCAATTGTCGGCCACGATAACGACGTTATATTTTTGCAATAATTTTCATATATTTCATTACCTACTCCTTTAGTTATATGTATTTATTAGAACGAAATAAAAATAAGAACTATCAATTACATATACCGTTATTATGTTACTTCTATTAGAAAATTAATATGTAAGAGCTAATAGGATATTAAAAATATTTTATGCTATATCTCACTATACCTTATAAATAATTATATTTATGCATTTAAAGAAATAAAAATTAAAAATAATAACTTAGTAATTTGATAAAGTCAATAAAAATTTTGTCAAATGTATAGTTGATGTTTATTATAAAAATTCGAAACGTCAAACTATACGAATTTTTCATTTAGTGTGTAATGAACATATGTTTCCTCAAACTAAAATAATATATATCATAATTTCAATAATTATCAACAAATATAAGTTATAAAGTAACACTGCCTGATTTGCAGATTGTTAAGGAACCTCGGTTGGCAGTCATCTCAAGTTCACGAATTCAATGGCTAAGTAATATTTTGCAAAAATATGGGACTAGTAATAAAGATAAAAACATTTTTATATTATAAATCAAAAACTAATATTTAAATGGTAAATATTATTTAATTATTGAAATAATACATCGTCTCTTTCAAATACTTCAATATATTAAATTTAATACGTTAACTGTATTTCATTATTTAGAATATTATATTTTGTTTTGAGATTTAAAATTTATAAATTCATACCTCTTTTGTGTAACTTTAAAATATAATTTATTTTTATTATTAGACAACATTCTGCACATTAATCATAAAATTAATTTTCTTACTGGAAATTCTCTCTCAGACACACATACACTCACTCACTCGACCTTTCATCAAAAAATATATTTGAGTATATGTTTCATGGATTTAAATTTTACAACCTAATTTTAATCAACGTATATTTTTCAGGTAGCTGTCACTAAGAAAAAGAAACGAAAACTATAGCGCTTTTTAAAATCTTAAATAATGATAGATTATAAAAAAGCCTATATCACCTTGTTACTGTTAATGGAATTTTAATTCTATATGAGAATATGGGAAAATAGGTCCTCTAAAAATAGTAGGCGAGAAATTTGCATTCTACACAATTACTTATGAAACTATTAGCATTAAACTATATAGTATTTCCTGTTATTTGCATTATTTATAATTTTTAAATAAGATTTTATACTTTACTCCTTATTCACATAGAGTTATTTGAATTTTATGAAAACATAACATGATACTGTGATGTTCATTTTCGATTAGTGGACTTCGTTGAAATTCCTTTTTCTCTGTAGCTCCCCAGATCTATAAAACTAAGAGATAGGAGATGACAAAAGATTTACCATTTTTTGTTTAAAAGATATATTTTATATACTATAATATTTTCATAACAATCTTATATGTTCTATCAAGTTTATATCCATTGATAAAATTATAATTTAATTACTAACATTTCTAAATTTAAATTAAGAACACTTAGATTTAATTAACTTTTAAACTAAATTTATACTTAAATTCATAAAGCATTCATAAACGCAATGTGATAAAGTTTATGATTTATACTAACTAATTAAACTTATATTTACGATTATGTCTAATATTTATACAATTACTAGAATTGATAAAGTTGAAGTTATCTAAATAGACTGAAATAGACCAATCTCGATTTTTTTTCATTAAAATTTTTGGCTCTAACCCTCAATATTTTCCATGCTGGTGAGAGAATAGGGGATTATGCGTGCCCGAACAAATTGATGGAAAGAAAATGACATGTTATATAATAAACTGCACGTGACTAATATTTTCAGTGCAAACGAGATAATAATATGCAAAGTTGGATCTAGTACTACAACGAAAATAAAGAATATATAACTAGGTTTAGTGCTACAGAGAAAAAGAGAACGTGATTACCAATCGTTGATTTAGTAGAACATGAGACTAGTACACCAGCATTGATGAATAAAAAAAGTATTTCTACCAGTTAATACATAAGGAAATGCAACTTAAAAAAGTGTTGGGAATTTTTATAAAAATAAATTAATTATTTTATTGCGAAACATTGACAATTATAAATTTTTTTTAAAAAGTTCATATCGTCTTAATGAGTGTCATTACTTGTATATTTATTCGATTTTCAAATATTTTCAAACAAATTTTCTTATACACATATGCATAATCAAATTACAACAATACGGAAACTTGTAGTTTTAAGGTATTTGAACCCTTTTAAGCTTTGTCGTGTTTATAGGAGACATTCAACAGGTTTGGGAAGTTAATGATAACTGTATATCATTAAATTCGAAATTACTTTCTTCGTGTTATTTAAAATTAATATTATAAAGAATAATAAATATATTTCATTTTTTTAAATTAAAATTAGTGTTGATATCATAGTTGATTTAATTTTTTGAATAAATTTAGAAATATATTAGTTATTAAAATGAATTATAATCTGATTAAATGTATTTTATTAAAATTTTAAATTTAACATAATTTATTTCATTATACTTTAATGGAGTTTTACTACAGCGATATAACATTAGTTAAAATTGGTATTGAAAATAAAAATGTTTAATGTAATATTTATTACATCAAGATTTTATTTTAATTTTCATCAAATGCTCATAATTTAACTGGATACTGTATTGCTTTTCTTGCTTTTAATTATTTATAGCTTATTTGATTGTTTTATTATTATAAATTCTTTGAAATATTAACAAACTATCAATCTCGGTATGTGTCTATTAAAATTTGTTCAATAAGTATGATTGTTCGAGAATTCAAGACCTTTTTCAATGCAATATAACATCTGGCAAAATGACATAGAAAAATTTGTGTTTAGATTTCAAAACCTTGCTCGCAATTATCTAGCAATAGTGTCATAAAACTTCTGGAAAACTATACAATAAACACGGAAAAACCCACTCAGGCATATGTACGAATTCGCTTCGCTCGGTAATTACTTCAGGCCTTATGTCGAGCGGACCTACGCCCCCCTCTTCCCACTATCTACAAGTTGTCATACTGTCGCCAGATGCGTCAGCGGCAACGAGAGCTCTTCTTGCCATGAAGACCAAGAGACGACGTTTGCCATCGCAAACACATCACTTCAACCCAAGAATTATTTCCATAATTAATAATAGTAATACTAATCAACCTTGTCATCAATAAATAACAATAAATAAGTAACGTCGAACCTACTTCTTACCTTTACCTGTACACCGCGAGTTACGCTCGCATCGAGTACACGAACGTGCACCAACACTACCGCTACCTTGGAGCTCACAGACACAAGCTGTGACGTCACACGGACATCAGAGATATAGTAACAACATTAATAAAGGTCACCCTTTTAAACAGTTCGGTATCATAAATTTTGAAGTGTTATAATATATAATTATATAATATTAAAGTAAATTGTTCGAGATTGCGAGACTTTTTTTCAATGCAATATAACATCTGGCAAAACAACATCGTAAAATTTGTGTTTAGATTTCAAAACTTTCTTGCTGGCAACCTTCTAGCAAGTGTCATAAAATATCTGGAAAAACAATATAATAAACACGGGAAAACCCACTCAGTTAGGCATACGGATTCGCTCCGCTCGGTAATTACTTCAAGCAGTATGTACTAGCGGACCCCCTCCCACCCGCTATCAAAGTTGTCATGCTGTCGCCAGATGCGTCAGCGGCAACGAGAGCTCTTCTTGCCATGAAGACCAAGAGACGACGTTTGCCATCGCAAACACATCACTTCAACCCAAGAATTATTTCCATAATTAATAATAGTAATACTAGTCAACCTTGTCATCAATAAATAACAATAAACAGCATATACATCAGCCGTATTTATATTGTATTATTATAATATCCCTTCCACTTGTGACCTTTCATCGCTACCACACAACACCCGTGGTTTCTGAGTTGTCAACGGCATCAATCTGTATCCTTCGAACCGGCCTTGGTAAAACAAGCCGAAACGTCGAATACATTTTGTCAATTTTTTGGTTCTTCGAGCCGGATAGCCAGAGAAACGGACTCTGATAAGTGGAAGTTAGTAAAGTGTAATCAGTATTAATACAAGAAGACTGTTATATAAGGAAGACTTTATAATTACAAAAATATCAAAGGAATACTCGTGAAATCTTCAGGACACGTAAATACTCAACAACCTTTGTTTCTTCTAACTCTGTATTATTACAGGAAAATGTCACACCATGATAAAGGTTAATCCACTAAAGCCAATATTAACATATTCATCAATTGGGATACGAACCCACGTGTAACTCTTAGTAGTGCTAACAACAGATATCCGTTCAAGTTTATCATTAAGACGGAAGCTCAGCGCTTTCGAATAAACTTATTAAAGGTTTAGCACAACTAGTCCCTACAACTCATATGACACAACATTAGAGGAAATAACGGGTCTATAGGAATTAATTAACACAGTACACCAAACATTTGTTAAGGAATAACATTATCTTATGTTAACGTGGCCAATAATAATCATGGATTCAACTGAGTATAGTGCATACGCTGTGTTTTTAGATGTGAACGTAAAATTATATAAATTGATGTCCAAACTGAGAAATGCAAGGAATAAAACACGTAGTTCTAAAGGTCACCGGGATAAAAACAGAAATAGACATGATCTGCTGCCAGATATCCCCAGTCAAAATTCACAGTTAATTACTACAAATGGTCCATGTTCCAGGATTTGTTTATATCAACAGTTACTAACAACACAAAACTATAGTAAGGTACAACAAACTATTATCTAATAAAATCAATAACAGGTGTTGCTGCCAAGACTGTCCAACACTTATAATTACAAAACGATTCGTTTCACCCTGGCAAGCCCCATCTGAAAAGTTTGAGGACACTTGCAGAATACTACAATCTCATCTCAGTGACTTTCTCTAAATCCCCAGCATTAGAGAAAGCCATCGATTACTGAAATAACTGTTAAGGAAGTTACGACAAGTAACGGCAAATACATATTGTACAATGATTGAACGAATTAACCCGAATAAAATTTTATTGATATATATTCAAGTTTTCACCTTTTGTATGAGTTCTATCATGTATTCTTGATTGTCTGAGATTTTGATTGCAGTTCGTGCTGGTGTAAGCGACACTGATGTGAGATGCACTACTTAATAATAATACTAAGTATAGAATTACAATGAGCACTAAACTGAATTTATCGTAGAAAAATACTGTGAGCCAGATGTGTAGTGACTGACTAGATGTTAAACGTACAGTGTGGAGCGCGTCAAGGGTTGCTCTTAAATATTCACGTAGAAGCTTGCGACGCCGGTAGCGCAGAGGTGCCTGTTGCTATGCCGATCCTTATGGCGACGTCACTAGGATATAGCTTGGAGAGTTCATCGGCATTGCTATTCGAAATTAGAATCTAATATTCGAGTATTCTGCGTAGTGAGATTTCCTGAATTCGCTGAAATGTATTTATAACGTAAATGTCCAAGTGTTTAAACCTCTTCCACTTTTGTATTCGGCCTTTAACTGCTTCAATTCCGAATATATATAAATATTAT